GGGGTCAGCAATATGCTTAGGTAAAAATTACATTCACCACTCTAACTTAGACCTTATTAACGTAAAACTACAGGGATAAGATGGTGAAGCCTGCATCTCTGCTGCCCATGAAGTTCCCACCTTCATGGACCATCTAGATTGCAACTCAAAATTCTCTTCACCAGTCTCAGTCAACCAGCGATTTTTCAGTTGTGGAATTTTAACTACCACCCAAGTCAAGAAATGGAATAGAACAAGCTGCCAAAATGTCCTTATCATTCTCAATGTCACTGTTGGCTCTTTTACCTCCAGATGAAATCATTGTCCTGAGTTTTGTGATAGTAACTTGACACAGCTCCTCATTATTTCCAGTCAGTTCTATCGTTCTACTTGGTATGTAGTACTATTGCTTGTAGTTTAGTTTGCTTTTCTCTTTTTACTAATGATGCTGACCTCTATTAAAAATGTTTAAGTGCTTATTCATGTCTTCTGTCCCATTTTCTATTCATTTGTCTTTTAGTGTTTAATTTGTAGTTCTTTAAGTATTCTGAATACGACCTAATGTTGGTTAAATGTGTTAAAATATTTTCTTCTAATTTATGTATTTTTGTTCCTTTATTATTATTTTTTTTTATGATTAGTGCTATTTTGTCTCCTACTTGAAAATTCTTTTTTTTTTTATTATTTTTTAACTTCCTTTGAGGCAAAAGAGATATTATCCTATATTTTGTTGTGTGTGTGCATATATATATATTTAACATTATATCTATAATCTTCCAGGAATGGCTTTGTGTGCATTGAGTGGGCTAGGGATCTAGTTTCATTTTTTTCCCCACATGGACAGCCAAGTGACTCCTTTTATCCCAGAGTTTTACAGTGACGATTTTGTCATAAATTAAGTGGTTATTTTTGCATTTTACAATATAATAGCACTGTTTCAAGTAATGTAACTATAATGTCTTTATATTTAGAAAAGCAATCTTCCTACTTTTCATAAATGCCTGGGCTATTCTAGGTTCTTTGCATTTCTCTCTATATTTTAATATTCACTTTTCAAGTTTTACACAAAAGAAAATAATAAACAAATAAAAAATCTTGTGGATGATTAGATTGTGATTACATTGAATCCATAGATTAGTTTGGAGACAACTCCAAACTGCTTTTACTATATTGAGCCTTCCAAACCATAAACGTGGTATATCTTTTGGTTTATTTAGATTTTTTTCAATTTTTGTTAGCAATATTTTGTAGTATTCAGTGTAGTGGTCTTGCTTTTTTTTTTTTTTTTTACTTTCCTTGTTAGTGGACATTAATTGATGCCATTGCAAATGCAATATTTTTAAAAAAATTATTATGACATGTTTGGAATTGCTATGTGGAACTGAAAATGCTTTTATCTATTGATATTTTTATCTCTCAACCTTAATAACTCACTAATTCTATGAATGTAATCATACATCCTTTTTGATTTTTTACAAATAAAAGTTACATCATTTGTGAAAAATGAAATTATTATTATTATTTTCCATTTTCTTATACCAAAAAACAAACCAAACTCACTGCTATTGAGTTGATTTTGACCCATAGCAACCCCACCTTGGTTTTCTGAGGCATTGTCTCTATAGAAGTAGATTGCCCAGTCTTTCTTCCAAGAAGTGGCTGGTGGGTTTGAACCATCAGCCTTCTGGTTAGCAGTCAAATGCCTTGGGCACTATGTCACTAGAGCCCTACCATTTTCTTATACTTCTCTTTTTTTCTTAATTGTGTTGTCTAGGATGTCCGGAACAATAATGAATTGGTTGCAGCAGGCACATTTCTCCAGATCTCAAAGGGTGAGGTTTGAGCATTTCATCATTATGTATGATGCTTGTTACAGGATTTTAATTTTTAGTAAACACTTTTTATCAGCTTATAGAGTTTGCTTTATATTCCTAGTGTTCTAAGAGGATTTTTTTAAATTATAAACAGATGTTACATTTTATTAAATGCTTTTCTTGTATATATTAAGAGGGTCAAAAGCTTTTTATTGATTTTATAACATTAAAGTAAAACTACAATTCAAAATTAAACCTAAATTGATTATGATGTATTATTCTTTTTATGTATTGTTGGACTTGGATTGCTAATACTTAGGTTAAAATTATTACATCTCTGTTTATGAATGAGTGTGGCTTGCATATTTCCTTCTTTGCAATATTCTTGTTAGGTTTTTCATCCGGGTAATGCTCAGCTTGTAAACAAGCTGGGAGTGTTTTCATTTCTTCTTCTTTTTTTTCCCCCCTTATTCTCTGGAAGAGTTGTAAGCTTTGCATTATTTCTTCCTAAGCATTTTTGGAGAATTTTTTGGAGAAGCCTTATAGGTCTGGAGTTTTCATTATAGAAAGGTCTTTAATTACAAAGTGAATCCATTTAATATTTTTAGTAATGTTAAGCTTTATTACTTCTCTCAGTTTTACTTTTTTTTTTTTTTTTTTTTGAGTAATGTATTTGTTTATCTAGCTTTACAGTTTTGTTTTGGCTCTTTCTTTGGTTGCTTTCTCTGGAGGAATTCAACTGTCATGTTTTGAAGTAGCCCAAAAGAGAAGCCCAAGTGTGTGAGCTTGAATGAGAATTTTCTGAGACCTATCAATCAGTGGGGAGCTCTGGTAGCATAGTGGCTAAGGCACTTGACTGCTGACCAGAAACCAGAAGGCTGGTGGTTCAAACCCGGCAGCCACTCCCCGGAAGGAAGACGGGGCAATCTACTTCCTTAGTGATACTGCCTCGGAAACCCAAGGAGTGATCGCTATGGGTCGGGTCTGACTCAACGGCACACAACAACAACATCAATCAGTAAGCCTTGAAGTGACACCTGCCAAAAACTATGTGAATGAACCTAAAAGTGAGTCCTCACCCAAATCAAACTTTCTGATGACTGTGCTTTGAGCTGACAATTGACTGCTGTGTCATGAGGAATATTAGCAATGAGAGAATATATATTTGTTGTTTTTAGTCTCTGAAGTTTTCAGACCAATTTGTTACACAGCAACAGATAACTAGTACTATCCATTCAACAGTTGATGGCTCTTGGGTATTTCCAGTTTGGGTGATTATAAATAAAGCCATCATAAACATTTGTGCACAGGTATTTGTGTGGACATTTGTTTTCATTTCTCTTGGTTAAATACCTAGGAGTGGGATTGCTGGGTTATATGGTAAGTACATACTGAACTTTATAAAAACTGCCAAATATTTTGAGAAACTTTGTTTTCTAAAGTGCATTATCATTTTCACAGCTTCTTAAATTAATTTCTTGATATTTTCATCAGTTTTTGAAAAAGTCTCTAAATTTCTCGCCAAATGTTTTTTCTGCCCATGTGTTCTCTTTTCTTTTCCTAAGACTCAAATAATCCTTACTGTATCTTCTATGTCTATCAACCATTTTCTAGAATTTCCTTTCATTTGCTTCCCTATGCTTCATTCTAGAGATTTTTCTGACTTATCTTCCACTTGCTTAATATTTTTAAAATAACTGTGCCTAATTAATCTTAAACTCATCCTCTGTTGTAATTAATATTGATTATTATTACTTTCTATTATGGAACTTCTATTTGACACTTTTATTTTATTGTCTTCATTCTTTGCTGAAATTCTCAATGTTTCTTCTGTTCTCTTAAGTATAGTATATATACTTACTTTAAAATATATATGTCTTTTAACTCAATTATTTTGAGTCCCAGTGAATATATTGCTATTGCTTACTATTTCTGCTTGTACCTTTTCATCTTATGTTGTGTCCTTAGGTGCTTGGTTATTTTTGATTGTATGAGTGAAAAAAGTTTTGTGAAAATATTTTGAAGCCAAGGATGTTGCTTTTGTCTTTCAGGATAGATTCCCACTTGCTTTTCCCAGGTGCCTGTGGGCCCTAGCAATCCTGGCACACTTCAATCAATTTCCTGGCAGCTGAGCTGCAGTTCCTGATTTGGGTTCATTATTACTCTTAGGCCACTCAAGGCCTTAGTAGTCTGTGTCCCAATAATACTATGATGTAGTCAGAAACACAGTTACCTCCTCTGGATTAGGTACTTCTAGTGTCCCTAGGAGAAACATTTAGAACATGAGCTCATTTGCCTGGGCCTCCATTCCACACCTATAGCCTCAATTATTTCTCAGTATTTTACTATATGGATAGTTCTCCTGTACCTTAAATCAGATTTAAATTAAAAAAAAAAAAAAAGAATGTTTTATCTATTTTTTCTGTTGTTCTCAGAAACAAGGTTGATCTGAATTTTCTAGTCAATAATTATTGGGTTGATTAGTTAAGGTCCCTGGGTAAGAGTTTGCACTTAGGTATTAATAGAAAGACTGGTGGTTTGATCCCACCTTGCAGAATAAAGGCATGGCAATCTGTAGCTGTAAAAGAGTACAGTCAAGAAAACCCTATGAACCTCAGTTCTATTCTGTAACTCATGGAGTTATCACGAGTCATAATCAACTTGACGGTAGCAGGCTTTTGTTTTTAAAGCCTGGACTTCGCTGTGAGACAGAGATTAACTATTTGCTTTAATTATGACTAGAGCTTTTGAATATATGCACCTCAACCTGGTTTTAAATGATACACTTATTGATATTCTCAAATAAATTACCTAAAGCAAAATTGGCATTTTAATATTCCTTTAATAGTAAATATTTTTTTACATTTCTTAGTTTACAAAAAGAAAAATACATTTTCAAATTAAATATTTTGCTAGAATATCCTATCATCCTTCTGTTAAGAATAAGACTAATTTTATTCTGGTTTGTATAGACCAATATTCCATAAAAATTTCTTGAAAGTAAACTAATAATGCTATTCTAATAAGTCTTTAACCTAAGCAATAATATGTTGACAATAACCCCTAGAGTGAAGTTTGACAGTTTATATTCTAATTTCTGGTACTTAAGTTTACTTGATTTTTAAATTTTATATTCATCTTTGCTAGAAACTTTACACAGCTTAAAATTTTTATCTATGTATTTCTGAGAAGTTTAAAAATACTTACCATTTGTGACAGAATTTCCATTTTCAGCAGTTATACAAGTAGATAATGAATTAGATAACTGAATTCCGTGGTTATTTGCATTTCGATCTTGAGTTTCTGATGCAACTTCTGATGTGCTAGGATCGTCCCGGCTAGTTAAATTCATGTTAGTTTCAAAACCTAAAGTAAATTTTAGAAAATATTATACTTTTCCTGATAAAGTATACCTAGCCAGAAGAAAAAAATAAAATTTATCAAATCAAATATGAATTAAAGTTGAACCTTTAAATTGTTAACAATCCTTATCCAAATTTACAGCCCATAAAATATTTACCACATTTTGTTTCTACTAAACATAATAGAAAATGCTAAATAGTGCTAATCAATTTTATCATTTGTGATTTTCACATATATTTATACAGAAATTTTGACATCATAGATCAAATAACTTCTCATTACAGTATTGTTTATCTTGAGAAACCTGCCTGTTTCCTAAAAGAATCATGGCAGTATGTTCATGTTTAAGAAGGTTTCTGAATTATTAAATTTAAGTAGTGCTGGGGCAATCTTATAGCTTGTAAAAAAATACATTTTCAATGTTATTATAAGATTTGCTGCTATCCATTTATATGAAGCTTTGGTGGCACAGCTGTTAAATGCTTGAATGCTAACCAAATATTATCAGTTTGAACCTACCAGCCACTCCACAGGAGAAAAATGTAGCAGTGCTTGTGTAAAGATTAAAGCCTTAGAAACTCTATTGGGCATTCTACTGTTCTATAGGGTCACTATGAATGTACTGACAGTACACAAAAACACCACCAACAGCAATTAGCCATTCTGGTGGTGTAGTGCTTAAGGCATTTGACTTCTAACCAGAAGACTAGTGCTTCAAACCCCCAGCCACTCCTCAGAAGGAAGGTTGGGCAATCTACTTCTGTAGAGATAGTGCCTTGGAAACCCAAGGAGGAATCTCTATGAGTCAGGATCTACTGAACAGCAGTGGGTTTTGTTTTTGAAACTTAAAAACACTGCTTTTAAAGAAGAATAGAAAAAAAGAAAAAAAAAAAAAAAAGAAGAAGAATGAAGAAAACCAAAATTCATGGAAACAATTAGTCCTAGCGACTGGT